AAGATAACAATAAAAGCTACGTAGATGAAAGCACAAAGAGAAAAAAGGCTGAAAATAAAAATAAAGAGCCTCAGTGACCTATGGAATAATATCACTCTAACATAAATGTAGTCAGAGTCCCAAAGCAGGGAAGTAAAAATATAGTAGGAAAAAAAACGGTCAAAATTTTTCCAAATTTGATGAAAACTATAAACTCACAAGTTCAAGAATTTCAATGAACCCCAAGCAGGACAAAGACAAAACTACACTAGGCACTTCATAATCAAATTGCTAGAAACCAGCAAAGAGAGAAAATCTTAAAAGCAGCCGGAGAAAAAAGATACATGACGTACAATGGAACAAAGATAAGAATAGCTGCCGGGTTCTTATCAAAAACAGTGCAAGCCAGAAAAAACAAATAACAAAAACAGAATGGCATCTTTAATGCGTTGAAAGTAAAACAAGACAAAAAAGCTGTCAAATTAGAATTCTATACCCAGAAAAAGCAATTATTAAAAAATAAAGACATTTTTAGACAACAAAAGCTGAGAGAATTCATAACTAGCAGACTTGCACTACAAGTTTGTTAAGGGACGGTCTTCACACAGAGAGAAGATGGTATCAGAAGGAAATGTGGGCCACCACAAAAAGACGAGGGTCAGACACAGCAAGTATGTAGGCAAATGTAAAATAACTTTGTTTCCTTGTTTTAGAAAATGTCTTTAAAAGATAATTGATGTTTAAAACAAAAATTAATAGCAACATATTGTGGGATACGTAACGTGAAATAAAACACAGGATAACAACAACTCAAAGGATGGTAAACGGAAGGACACTGTTATAAGGGCATCCCATTATATGTGAAGTAACATAACACTGTTTCATGACAGACTATTATTCATGTACATATTGTAAACACTAAATCAACCCAAAAAAGAGATATAAGTAATAATCCAAAAAAAGAGGACAAAATGGAGCCCTAAAATTACTTAATTCCTGCAAAGGAAAGCAGAAAGAGAAGAAAAAGGAACCACCACCAAAACAAAAAAAAACAGATGGGACAAACAGAAAACAAAGATCAACATAAGGGATTTAAACATGACTGTATCAATAATTACATTAAATGTTGAACAAAACAAAAGGCCAGACATGAACACGTATATACTGTACTAGTCCATTTATCTGAAACTCTAGAACAGGCAAAATAAATAAAGAGGATCTATGGTAGATCCTGGGGCCAAGGGTGCTGGCTGCAAACAGATATGAGAGAGATTTCTAGAGTGATGAAAATGTTCCATATCTTGTTTTGGGCGGTGGTGACATGGGTGTGCACTTTTGTTAAATCCCATCAAACTGAAACTTAAAATGGGTGTATTTTACTTTTGTGTAAATTATGCTTCCATAAAGTTATTTAAAAGTTCAAAAAGAAATCTTAAGTGGAACACAGCCTGACAATAGTGCTTGTGTTGTTACTGACTCATACCACTTTTTGTCTGGCTGGGAAGGTTAGGTTCCATTTATTCAATATAACTTTCCAATGAATGATACTTGTAACTCAAAAAAAAAAAAAAAAAAATGGCGCTCAGTTTTCAGAATGAAACAATTTGGGGAGAAAATGTTAAATCCCTAGAAATAAATTTAACAAGAAATGCCTAAGACCTGTATGATGACATAAGGGAGGAACATTACATGACAAAGAAATGAAAAGATTTATACTATGTTCCCAGGTGAGAAGTCAATGTGGTAAAGACAACACTTACCCCAATTTAATACAGACATTCAATGTAATGTTGATCAAAATTACAACAGATTTTTTTTTTTTGAGAAAGCAAGGTGCTTATAAAATCAATGTAAAATTTCATCTGAAAGAATAAATGGGCAAGAATAGCCAAAAAGGTTTTGAAAAAGCCAAATAAGACGGTATCCTGCCTACCGTATCACAACACATCTTATAAAAACCAATTAGTTAAAGTAGTCTGGTACTGGTAAAAGAATAGACAGATAAAATTATGAGTCTTAAAATAGAATCCTGTATATATGGAAATTTATCATAAAACGTTATGTTCTATTCAAACGAGTTGCAAAGGGGTACACTGTTTAATAAAACGATGCTGAAAAACCTGAATACCCATTTGTGAAAAAAAATACCTTAGAACTAACCTTTCATTATATATGAAAATAAATTTCAACCAGATTAAAGATTTAAACAAAAACAAAACCATAAAAGTACTGGAAGACTTTTTCAGAAATTGTAAAGAAAATGTTATATAATCTTGAGGTGGTTTTTTCAAAGATGATATAAAACCCAGAAGTCATTAAGAAAAAGACTAAAAGATATATACAAAGTTAACTCTTGTGTATGGCAAACAAAACTATTTAAAAAAAAACTAAGACAGAAAACTGAGAATAATATTTGCAAATTCTTCATCAGACAAAAGATTAACCTACTTAATACACAGAGATCTTATAAAGGAAATCATCACTCTAACGCATTCTCAGTAAGAAAGTTAAAGTATAAAAATCCTTTTGTTTTGCAATTCCACCTCTAGAAACTTACCCAACTGAATATCTGAGTATCATACATATGTGAGTGTGTGTGTGTGTGTGTGTATATACACATATATGTGTGTGTGTGTGTGTATATATATATATTCCAAGGATTTTTATTCCAGTAGTCTGTTTAATAGCAAACAAGGTAAAAATAAAAACTTGAAGTGTCCCATTACTGGAATAAACTATGATACATTGATGCAACAGTATTCTATGTAGCTATTATAAAGAATGAAGGAGAGATATACCATAGTTTTATGCAAATAACGCAGACCTTCTACATTTGTTTGCTAACTGTGCCCTCTCCCCACTGGAGCAGCTGGCAAACAAACGTAGAAGGCTCGCGTTATTTGCATAAAATATGGTAGGTACTGATGTGATAAGCTGCCCAGTATATATTTTATATTCTTTTTTATTAAAAAAATTATACAATAGAAGCCTCTTAACTGACTTAATCAGGACCATTGGTTGGTTAACTGACAAAGGAGATCGAAGCAAGGAATCACACCTTAAACATTTCACTTTAATAGTAAACATGAATATGTACATTCATCCTCCAATATTGTGACAAAGGGTGAAGGACTTTTTAAAAAAAATTATGGGTCTCCCACACTGTCTTTTCTGATTACACTACATCCACAAAATATTGTTTAATATTTCTGCTTTTGGTTTCTTTGCAGTGTAAAAATCCTTGCAAAGATTTAAATTTTTCCCCAGCCTCCTACAGTTGTCTTGCTCAGTTCTAGCTGATTACATTTTTCTTAGCTTCTAGACATTAACAAGTGTTTTAAACACATTCAACTTAATTTATATTAAATGATAATTTTATTTTCACACTTATATTTTGGTTTATATATTTCATTAAATCACAAAATTACTACAGCACATACAAGAAGAAGACGGTTTGGGAACAAGTAAGACTAACTCTTGACATACATAAAACTCAATAATCTCTAACCGCAGATTTCTAAATTGGCACTTCAGTTTATTAATCAGTATCTTATGAATTTTTTTAACGTGTCAATTTAACCAGGTACCATTAACTCTGCACCAATTGATAAATCAAGTCTCTAGACCCACAATGTCCAATATGGTAGCCGCCAGCCACACGTGGCCACAAAGCACTTGAAACGAGGCTAGTCTGAGTTGCTATAAATGTAAAATACACACCATATTTCAAAGACTTTGGAGCCCTGGTAGTACACTGGTTAAAGACTCAGCTGCTAACCAAAAGGTTGGCAGTTCGAATCCACCAGCTGCTCCTTGTAAACCCTATGGGGCAGTTCTCCTCCGTCCTACAGGGTCACTGAGTCGGAATCGATTCAAGAGCGATGGATTTGGTTTGTTTTGGTTCAAATACTTCATATGAAAGAGAATGTAAAATATGTTAGTATTTTTGTATTGATTACACATTGAAATGATAATATTTTGGAAATATCAGATTAGATAAAACATTCCTAAAATTAATTTCACTTGTTTCTCTATTTTTTTTTAATGTGGCTAATAGCAAATTTTAAATTATAAATGTGGCTCTCACTGTATTTCTTTTTGGCAGTGCTATTCTAGACCCGTGACGTTCTTTGATCAACGGTGACATCATTTAGAGGTTCCACCTGAAGCGATCCATCAGACTTTCTCTTTTGTTATGTTACCTGCATCAAAACGTCCTGGAGTAACATTTTAAAAGCATCACCTCTAAACAGACTTGTGACTCTCTATCAGGGGCTGGCAAACTACGGCTGGTGGGCCAAATCTGGCCAGCTGCCCATTTTAGTACGGCCTATGAGCTAAGAACGGTTCTTATGTTTTCAAATGGTTGGAGGTAAAAATCAGAAAAAGAAGATTTCATGATACGTAAAAGTTACATGAAGCTCAAATTTCAGTGTCTGTCCATAAAATTTTATTGGAACACAGCTATGTTCATTAATTTATGTACTGTCTGTGGCTACTTCTGGGCTACAACAGCAGGGTCGAGCAGCCGCAGCAGAGACTGTATAGCCCATAAAGCCGGAAATGTTTTCTACCTGGCCCTTTACAGAAAGTCTGCTGACCTCTGCTCTGTATCGTGCCTATGACTTGTAGGGCACAGTCAGTTACAAACAATGAGAAGGAGGAACTGTGTCTTCATTCTGTCCTCTACCAGAGACTAGTGTGGATTCCCAGCTTCCTAACTTGTTTCGGCCATTATCGTTCTTGACCCAAGAAAGCATCTGGGACAGCCTCTTCTTGAGGCAGTTTTTACACAGACGGCACCACAAAAATGCTTAGAGACGTGTGAAATCAAATGGCCAACGTGCGCCTTTGCCATAAAATTCAGCAGTGTTCTATCAAACCAGGGTGGTCCTTTGAAGGCCTGGGTACTCACTGCTATTTTGGTGTCCAGTCCGTGATTACTATTTTCCGTTTTCTTTCAATATCTCTTTGCTCATTTGCAGGACTGCTTCTCAACCCATGGCTTCTCAGGTACCTACCTCAGTGGACCCTGTGAACGCAATCTTGTCTATGCCAATGTGAGAAGCTATCGCTGCCCCAGCCGTTGGCCCAAATCCAGGCAAAATATTGATGACTCCTGGTGGAAAGCCAGCCTAAGAAAACAGAATTGGAGGAAACGTGGCTTGTGAAAGCTGACAAAGCACGTTACGTTGGATATGCTCTAGCAGGCCTCAACCGTAAGGGGGCCAGAGCCGCTCATGGGGGCAGCTTCTCTTACCTCCTTGATGAGGGCTCCCATGTAGAGCGCGCTGAGCGGTGTTTGTTCTGCTGGCTTAATAACTACTGTATTGCCACAGCACAGAGCCGGAGCAATTTTCCAGGCAAACATCAGCAGGGGGAAGTTCCACTGAAAGGAAAAAACCCAAGTTTGATAGATGGAAAAATATTCCTGCGCTACTCTGTTTTCAAGCTGTGACTCCTCGAATTTCTTGGACTAGTCCTCGACATAAATCTTATCCACCACAATGTATAGATGTTTGGCTTTTTAATTACCCCACTAAGAATGGAACAGCATGGACTTTGCAATCTCTCCTTTTCTTTCTGTTTGGCAAACTACTATAGCACAGCTACCCACCAAAAGACACCTCCTGGTGAAAAGGGAGTTTCTGCTTTTCCTTTGTTTTGGTTTCTTCTTGCTGTTGTTTCAGATCTTTTTACAATTAGACTCTGGGTTTCAATATGAAAACTTTTTCTTGCATTTGGCATTTTTACACCCGTGTTCACGCTGGTATGGAAGCTCTTCAATGTGAAAGAAGCAGAAGAGGAGATTCTAGCTGTGAATTACATTTAAGTCGATGTGTATTTCAAGGCAGTGCCTCTTATTTACATATGGGCATTGTCACAGAAGAAGCCCTGGAGGCACGGTGGTTAAGGACTCGGCTGCTAACTGAAAGTTCATTGGTTTGAACCCACCAGCCACTCGGAGCGAGGAAGATGCAGCAGTCTGCTTCCGTAAAGATTACAGCCTTGGAAACCTTGTGGGGCAGTTCTGCTCTGTCCTATAGAGTCACTATGAGTCGGAATCAACTCGACAGCAATAGATTTGGTTTTTTGGTTTTACTGTCACAAAATACTTATGGTTACAAAAAATAAAGTGCTTCTACTAATAAGTACGCAAAAATTTTAGTTTCTCTCTTTTTCACTGCAAAATAAGCTAATGGAGTCTAAAATATATTTATGTGAGTATATGAACTTGGGGCCTAAAATGGCTTAAACTGATTTTAAAAGGATATTAAGCTTTTGCATCATCATCAGCTCAGGCAGGAGCCTCAGTGCTATCAGGTGTCACTGATAATTTCGTTCAGAAAGAAAACAGAAATCCTGGTCCCCTGGCCTCAGCCTGGCCACGGTGTCTCTGCCTGAAGCATCTCAGCTGCCATCCTTGAAGGCCGCTTGCTGGCCCTGGCAAGCTTGCAAAAATATACAAGTGTCTTGCCTTCACCAAACACCCAATTTCTTTTCCCCTCAGTTGTTTATAAACTTGGGAGCCCACAGTGATGTTTTAATTCCATCCGCAGTGTATAAATCTTGCAGCCCAGTAATTGAGCTGGAGCTGGCTGACAATCCGCTCTTGCCCTGTCAGTGCCGGGGCTCTGAGGGTCTGAGGAAGAGCAGGAAGAGCAGGTTGGAGTCCTCAGAATCAAGGCGATGGGATCTCCCCCCTGCTCTGATCCACACAGGGTTTTCTGGGTGGTTTGGGAGCACAAGAACTTGAGCCACACTCTCCTTTTCCGTTTTCATTCTCTAATATAAATATAAATATTAGAGTAACTCAGGGCTTGCGGGTCGTATACAAATATTAATACCTCCCAAAAATGTCTGGCCCCCAAAACCAAAGATGATCTTGAATTATTCTCCTGGATGCTGAAAAAAGAACGCCCCTTGCTCTACACTGTAAGAGTTTCATTTGAGTCTCCCCTTGAAATCCCTGCCAGAGCTATTAGCTAGAGCTATTAGCCAGAGCTATTTGCTAGAACTTTTAGAAGATTCAGGATTTTATACAGTGCCAAGGGTGTGCATGAGAAAGAGGAAAAAAGCACAATGTTTAATGTTCCAACCTCAACACTAAGTACTACATCTATTTCCCTTTACAAGACACACAACAGCCCGGCATGGTTTCAATTATGACCGTGACGTTGATCGCACTGCTGTGTCTTCACAGCATCTTCTATCTAGATGCTTGTGAAAAGAAACAATGGGAAAGAATGGGACTAAAAGACCATATAAAATAATATGCCTGGAAAGATGGTGAGTCACAGTTCTAAAAAATAAACAAGCAAATATAACAGAGCATTAATTTTCCATAAGCAGAATGAACATCCATAACAAGGGAAGGTTATTAATACACTGTGTGCTTTGCTTTGCTTTGCTTACTTTAATCATGAGAATTCCATGACTTGAGAACTCAACTCCTGGAAACGGAGCTGAAATCCTATTAACCTGTTCAAATAAGCATTTGCAGGGAGGCTGTTAAAGATATGTCAACAACATGAGCTCAGTTTTTTTTTTTTTTCTTTCCAGTAATGGAAAACACACGTCACTGAGGTCCGTGTTTTGTGTGTCTTTAAGAAAACTGGTTCAAATGAAAATAAATCTGAGGCGTGAGGAGATAGACTCACCGGGATGATCTGCCCACACACTCCAATGGGTTCGTGTCGTGTGAAGGTGAAATAGTCTCCATCTGAAAGAAATGAGTACCGTCACTTCCAGAAAGCTTAGATTAGAAGAAAAAAATGCAAAGGGAGAACTTTGGTGGCAACAAAAGACAGAAATAAAGTTGAAAATCACCCCACTCAACTGTGCCCGAAAGCTGGTAGAAGAGTTATCACTGGCGTAGGGTTCTCTGTCTGGGATGTGGCTCCCAGAAACTGGAACAGTGCTCAGGGAGGCCTCTAAGGCAGAAATAAAGGACAAATTTAACGCTAGAAATCATCTGGGAAGAAAAAGGCTGGAAAGTGGGAAATATTAAGTTGTATATTAACTATTAAAATGATACTTGTATTGAGAACAGTTTATTTAAAAACTGAGGTACCTCAAACTTTTAAATAACCTTCTGAAATATTAAAAGCAAAAGCCCAGTAGAATGCTACTGGGTCTATTTCAAATGCTGGGCAACTGGGAAAAGTGGGGAATAAAAGTGAGGTATGTTCTGTAACTCAATCCAGGCATCCAAGGCACTTCCTGGGTACTGGGGGAACACAGGGACATGCAGGGTGATATAAAGAAGACAAAAGTCCACTGCAAAGAGAACTCCGTGCAGATCCTAAAGCCTCCACCCTGAGACTAGCCACAGAAATGAGGAGGTCTTTGCATGCCTAAGAGCTGAAGGGAAAAGCGCTTGAGAGAAATGGTTGTCACAGTGATGGAGTGCTGGATGTGGCTGCTGCCGGCAGGCCACTGTGTTGTCCTGAGTCCTCCTTGGAGGAGCAAGAGGCAATAACCCAGGTAGGCCAGATCAAAGTCTCTTTAGGAAAATGCCATTACTCTTATCTAAATTATTTACATGGCTACATGAAATCACCACAGAATGGGCTTGTTTTCAGCAATATGGCTTTTCGTTTGCTGTACTGGGCAGGGTCTGTGCTCCTCTATTGCCAACCCTTTGGCCACGGCATTAATATCTGTCTTCTCTCTTAAAAGCCGTCTCCCCTCCACTAGACTTCAGGGAGAGCACCCCTGTTAGGGGTGGAGATGAAGGGAGGGGAAGGGGGTGTGTGCAGGTTGAGGGGGGAGAAATGATGTGAACTGGTCCGATGGTTTATCATTGTCTCTCAACACATCTAAAATACTAGCATTTATCACACACAACTTTTAATTAAATTCAAAATTGTACATTTTAAATTGCTAAATTAAAGGTCTCCTCACCCCGACCTCTGATCTTCAGTCCTTCTTCCCAGAATTAACTGTTCTCTGTTGCTGGTGTATCTTTTCAGAAAACTTATTCTTCCCATGCAAGTATATGTAGTATCCTTTCATCCTTGCTTTATTTTTTTTTTTTACACAAATGGAATCACATTATTCATGCTATTTATTTATACTTTCCTTTACACTTTTTAAAAATGGCTGCACCTTATTTCACCAGCTCAATAAATTATGGTACTACTGTAAACGCTCCTGAGACACAGAGGCCATTTCCGGTTCAGGCTATTATAAATAGTGCTGTGGACACGATCTTTTATACGTCTTTGTGTATCTGCGGAATTTTGGGGTCAAGGTGCATGTGTTATTACACATTTTGATAAATATTGCCAAATTACCCTTCAGGAAGGTTGACAGGAAAGTTGACCAATTCATAATTCCAACAACAAGATGCTGTTCTTTTCGTATCTTTTTAACACTGGGTTTTTCAAACACTTTAATTTCCGCCGACCTGGCAGGTGGAAAATGGCGACTCATGTTGACTTGTGTTTAATGATGTGCGAGGCTGAACATCGTCGCTTCATGTTCGCTGGTTATCCTCCATTTTTTTCTTCATATATCCATTGCCTTTTTTATAGTCATAAGGAATTTTTTTAGTTTATTATGAAAATGTCAGATATACACAAAAGTACAGAGAACCCCATATGCCCACTCTCCAGATTCAACAGTTATCGAGATCTTGCCACATTTACTTCATCTGATTATTTTTAAGCATGAAGATCCATAAGTGGAATGCAAGCTGAGTTGCCGTTATTTTGTATGACTCGGCTAGGGCAAGGATGGGAGAGAACAGTGGTGCTCGGGACACAGCCAGGTCCCAGTGGTGGGCAGCATCAGAGCCCCCACAAGGGTGTGACGAGTGTCCTCGACCGCCAGGCATCTCTGCACAGGGCCTCCTTTTCTCCGGATGTAAAGTGAAGCTGTACGGACTGCTTTCCGTCTTTTTACTTGATGATTTGAAGAGTTCTAAGTATATCAAGGGAATTAGGCCTTTGTGACGTGTTCTGCCAAATTTTTCCTCAAGTTGCTGTCTGTCTCCTGAGTTTGTTCTATGTATTTTTTCAACTGGAAAAAATTAGCAAGTAGAAGGGTTCAGTGACTACAGGATGGGAATTACTTTAGAATTTATCTCCATTATAACAAAAATAGCCAAAATGTGGAGAGTGTCTATTGGATGACAATTGGATTAACTATCTGAGCTGCGCATGCAACTCAGGAATCTTACGGATAAATACGACTCTTCACAACAGTGCAAGTTACTACTTTTCTTCCATTTATACATCTCCAGAGACGTAGAAACATTTTTCACAAGGAGAAACAACACTGATCACTGATCAATAGGCTAGAGAGTTTCTTTTACAAGGAAATCCTCCTCAACTAAACTCTGTAATGAGGCTAAGGCGGTGGATTTAGGTGAATAATCACAGACCACAGAATCAGAGTGTAATGTCACGATGGAGTGCAAATGACTGAGGAACGAAATGGGGAAGATGAGCTGAACAAGAACACAGGTGTTTAACAGCACGCGTAGGAAACTGGTGGTTCTCAGAAAAGTAACAAGGACCTACCGAAGCACCACATGACACTTCAGACCTCAGACTTCTCCTCTACATTCTCAATGCGCAGGCATTCAGTCATACTACTCACATCATGTTGAAAGTTACTTAAGAAATGAAAGACAGAAGACGAAATGCAGACAAAACCTTAAAAAGGAACCTCATGAGGAATGAACTAGATTCTGTAATTGTGTCCCAAGAGAAAATGTATTACGGGGGATGCAAGCTTTCTTGGATAAACTGCTCACAGATTTGACAAACATTTAGTTAAAGGCTGGCAAAAGAAAAGGGACTGAATCTTCTAGTCCCTACAGTTTCTCTAAGAAGTAAATAAATAAAGGGTTTATGGTGCTTGAACTCCTCCTAGAAGAGCACAGAGTGCCAGGAGAAAAAGAAGGGCCCCCAGACCTTGTGAGGTCGGTCCACACTCCCAGCTGGCCAATCGAAGATTACACTGGACACCCCTAGTCCAGGTTGGGGTGCTTGGCAAACACGAGAGTATGGCTTCTACGAGCAACCTTGGCTAAGGCTGAAAGCACCCAAAGGTCCTTCACAGCTGCTATGACCTTGCTCCAATCCCACCAATCTTCCAGGCCAGGGTTACCCAGAGTCCACTCACTCATCCATTTTGCCAGAGCCAAGTATCAGCTGCTCCATTATTTACTTAATAATTTTTGTTAAATCAACTCATCTTTTAAAAATATGTAAGTAGCTACTTTTTAGCCTCACCCTAAGAAAAATCAATGAGGTAACAGGTTTGACGAATTAGTAACAATTTCTTCTAATATTCATCAAACCTAGTAATTACAAATTTTAAATTCATGAGTTTAACATGTAAAATCATCTTGCATGCTACTGGTACTATATGGGAAAAACCATTCTGGAGTGGTGCTTTCCAAATGTACCTGTGCACACAAACCACCTGAAGACTGTTAGTGTCAGACTCTGAATCAGCAGGTCTGAGGTGTGGCCTGAGATTCTGCACTTCACAAGTTCCCAGGTGATGCTGGTGCTTCAGATCCACAGACCACCCTCCGCGCAGCAAGGGCCCACAGGAACCAGGAGGATAAAAGGGAGTCCACCGGCATCATGATAACCTAGTTGCTCTAAGTTGTCTGACTTCATTTTTATTAATTTACTCTTTGTATCTCTATTAAGTTTACTAATTTGCCATAAAAAAAGTCTGAAGTGTAGGAGAATCCAATCAGTGTTTTTAACACTTTCAAAAGAGTAATAACAAAAACATGGTTTATTTCTATAGAAACTTACAAAATATTTTTGTATTCTTATTCTACCTCACAGAAACCCTGGTGGGGCAGTGGTTAAGTGCTACGGCTGCTAACCAAAAGGCTGGCAGTTCGACTCCACCAGGCACTCCTTGGAAACTCTATGAGGCAGTTCTACTCTGTCCTGTAGGGTTGCTATGAGTCAGAATCAACTCTACAGCAGCGGGTCTGTTGTTTTTTTTTTAAATTGCATTTCACACTCACGACAACTCTGAAAAAAACACAGCAACTACAGTCATGCATCACTTAAGGTCCACGATACGTTCTGTGAAATAGGACGTTATGTGATTTGGATGTTGTGCGAACACCTTATGACAGGCAGTCCCCGGGTTACGAACGTCTGCCTCCTTAAGAACAAGACTGCCGTAGAGCCTATTATATTAAAATTTTGAGTTAAACATGCCTGGCAGCACAGTGGCTTTGTATACAAGACATGAGATACAACTGTTGTGTGCAGGAAGCTATTGCGTTTGCTACGTCTGGTTATGTCCACTGCATCCCAATCTCACACTGGGATCTCTGAACCCTTACGGGACCACAGACGTAGATGCCGTTGGGCAATGTTATGCAGCACATGACGGTATTATTATCCTCATTTTACACATGGAGAAAATGAGGCACAGAGAGGTTAAGTCCAAAGTGGTATACTGGTGAAGTTATGGCTTCTGGACTAGGATCTGGATATTAAAACTTCAAGTTCATTGCCCATAAAAACATGTTAAAGACACTTCTGTGAAGAAGATGTTGGATTCAGATGGCTAATCACAAACCACCGAATCAGAGTGTAATGTCAAGAAGGTATGCAAATATATACAAAAAAAAAAAGACCAAAAGAAATGACCTTTTCGTGAAGAAGGGTGAAAATGTTCTTTGAGGATTTGGTGCATGGGCACAAAGCACTCACGCAAACTCAAGTATCT